GAAAGTAGTTATTCCAAACTGAAAAATAGTAGAATGTCACTACAGTGTGATGACAAACTCTCATAAGTGCATCAGCAATACGGTGTGTATTATTATACTCCCACTTCTATACAACTTTCATTGCCATTTTTATGTTTTCCTCGACCACGTTGAATCATTTGCAGAGACAGCACAGATTAGGCATAGTGTGGCCCAGTGCGAATTCGACGCCTGCTGCCAATTCAAGTCATTCGCGCGGGAATTTTATCATGCGGGAAAGTGCGTCACACCTGTCGGTTGCTGTTCTTCATTTCTCCAATAAATTGCTGCTTCGATGTTTCCATTGCTTGCACTGGTTTTTTTGATTTACAAAAAAAGCAGAAGAAACTGTTTCAGTAACGTAAAAGTTATTCGGAACAACTTTATCATACTAGTTTCAGTAATTCCAGGTCAATTTTATTTATTCATACTAACTCGAAGTGTAGATGAATGTTACAGATAGAATGGCTTTCAATAAGGAAGGAATGGACTACGACAAGCATAAGGCTCTCATCAGAGAGTTTATCGACACATATTACGGAACGGATGAAAATGGGCAAAAGGTAAATTGCTTTGTGTTTTCAAATTTCCTTCAAACTAACGACGTTAACTTCCTGTTTTGTCTTACAGAATTTATGTAAAGAATGTGCATTATAAATAAATGAAAGACTTTGGAAATGTAGTCTTACGTGGTGGCTAATTTTTTGTTTAGAAAAAATGCAACTTTCCTCAATTATAGGTATTCTATTACCGTGAGGACATCCAACGAATCGCTGAACGTGAACAAGTCGCTCTTTATGTCAATCTCGATGATATCAATCGATTCGATGAGTCTCTGGCTGCTTTGATAGAAGGAAATGCTAGACGATTTCATCAGATTTTCAACGAAGTGATAGATGAAATGGTGCAGGAAGTACTGGGAGATCGTCAGGTAGAAGATTTTGTCTTTTGTTGAGCAGTGTAGATTCATGGATCATTTCAGCCTCCTATCCGTGACGCGCTTGACGCATTCATTTTCCAAAGAGTTTACATGGATGACCAGTCAAAGATCAATGATGGGTATCTTGGGGGAACGATTCAGGAGGCTCGCAAAAAATATCCTCCTCAGTTGTTGAGACGTTTGTAAGTTTATTTGGAAACTAAGAGAAGAGTTACTAATTTTTCTCCAATTTTAGCGAAGTAATCTTCAAAAACCGTGATGCCATGAAGCCTGTGGCAGTTCGTGACATAAAGGTAGCTTTTACGTTCCAATATATAGTTCTCCTCATGTTAATCTTCGAACAGATCATTATGTTGGATTTCAATTAGGCGAAAATCCAAACAAAATTTTCTGCAGGCAAGTTGTGTTGGTAAGCTCGTCACAGTTAGTGGAATAGTGATCCGTGCTACGGAGGTCAAACCCATTGTCGAAGTTATGACTTACGCTTGCGATACTTGTGGAGCTGAAATTTATCAACCAGTGAGTTCTCAGTTTCATTGTTACCCAAGAAGATAAATAAAATGGAAACACGTGCAAAAGTTAGAGTAATAGAGTAGTTGTTAGCAATCAGAACAAGTTTGGGAGTAAAGTGATAAGTTTGTGACACATTTTTAAACGAACTAGAATGAACCAAAAGAATTTCTTGCCAATATTTT